AAAAAAAAAAGATAAAGAAAAAAAGCCCTTTCAAATGAAGTGCCCTGTGGCAGGGGTATGTTCACACACACTGGCTTCACACGCAGGTGAGGAAAACTCTTCCTCCTCATGGATCTTCCCTTTTCCTTCTTTTCCTACCTGAAACATCCCTCCCCAGTGCAGGCACTGCAACGAGCAGGTAACAGCTCCATGGCTGCCACTGTGAAAAACTGGGACCCTGCTGAACCCAGACAGCAGCCCTGGTACAGCCTGGAGGCTTTTATCGTCACCAAGGGCCAGGTCAAAGAGCTGGACACGATGTTTTGACTCGGGTGAGGTGAAAGCTCCCAGCTGAAGCCCAGAAAAGCAAAATGTGATATTCCACAGGCACCACAGGATGGACAGACAGGGCAAGGGGGAAGCAGAGGTGTCCTGGCAAAAGCAGGGACCATGGATGAGCCCAGCTGAGCCTCAGCTTTCCTCCCTTAGGGAGCTTTGGGTAACTCAGGGCTCAGCCAAGACCTCCAAACACAAGAACTGCAACCCCAGTAAGCAGCACATCCCAACGAACAGCGCACCCTGTCTCAGGAGAAGGACCATTAGGGGTTATTTCTTCYCAAATGCAGAGTGTTTTTAAAGCCCTGCCCCAGGAGAGGGCACCAGACCCCCTCTGTGCATACACAGCCACCTCCCAGCGCCGGGGCCGAGCACGCAGGGTGCTCCATGGGTCAAACCCACCCCTCTGTCCCCAGGGCATCACTCCCCTGCTCTGGGGCAGCCAGGCTGGGATGCTCYGGGGCTGCAGTTCAGRATCAGYAAACCCTCTGGAACGCAGCATCCTTGCCTCCAGTGCTGCCAGTCCCCAGYAAAAACCTCTTCCTTCCAGCCCAGCCCTCCCAGCCCTCGGCTCTCTCCATCCTCRCTCTCCCTCAATTATTTATAAGCTCTGAATGTGCTTCACTCCACAGAAGCGTTTAGGGAGAAAGGTTGTATGAAAGAGGCATTAGACAAAATAAAGTTATACGGCACTGTAAATAGAGAGGGTGGTGTGGTTTGGGTTATTTTTTTTCTTTAAAAGTCAATCTGCTTGGGAAAACAGCACCTTTTCCCAGAGCTGCTGGGAACACTGAGGGCAGAATCAGGTTTAATGAGGAGCAGTGGGCAGCAGCTTAAGCACACTCAGAGCAGGGAAGCGAAGCAAGGCAAAGTTTATCCCAGATTTGTTTCCCTTGGGCAGGGGGTCGGGTSGGTTTTTGGTTTGGATGGTTTATCCCACCCTGCTGAAGGAGCAGCACATGCAAACCCTTTCAGAGCCTTTCCATAGAGGAGGAAATCCTTCTGCTCTGTGCAGTTCCTGCAGGGAGAAYGCTCCAGCTGTAGGGCTTTGATGAGGTTAAACATTAATTAAATCAAACCACAAGAAAATAATTACACACATGCATCCATCAGGCTGACTTGTCRCTACCCAGAAACAAAGTTGGATGCAAACCCCATCAGCGGAACTGTCATGCGGCCGTTAGGAGGAAATGAATGCATCCCAAATGGACAATTTCATTTAGGGGGAAGGAAAAAATACCTCTCATGGATTGCAATGGATTAATGAGGCAAAGAGTTTATGTTTGCAATTGGTTGGAAAATGCAAACACCCCGAGTTTGTTGTGGTATCCTCCTTTCCCCTCAAGGGTGATTTGCGCTCCAGCCGCTCGGCTGCCAGACAGGTAACCACAGGCTGTAAAAACAAAACCTCTGGCACAGGAGAGGCCAGGGAATGGGCAGGGAAAGGCATGGATCAGCTCAGCAATAGTGCCTGGCCACCACTTCCACAGGCAGASAGATTTTTAAATTAAGAGGGAAAGGGAATGGATAGGACGGGGCTATGGGAAGTGGGATCTCCACTGGAGATTGTGGGTCTGGCTGGCTTTTTGGAGCTGCCCACTGGTGTCTGACAGCTGAGACCTTAAAATCTCCTTTTTAAGGCATGCTGGTGAGGGATCCCCATGTCTGGGGACACAGAGTCCCCTCCTGAAGCCCATGGGGGCCATTCTGCCACAGGTCCAGACACSGGGTACAAACCAAGCTCATGTTCTCATATTGAGAAAATTAGTGTGGAGAAATAGAGAGAGACCAAAGACGCTCTTGTCCTGATCTCCACTGACTGTTGCTGAGGCCATGGGCTATAGAGGAATGCTGGGGAAGTGGGAAATGGGGTGGGGGGGTCCCCAGGGATTAGGGACAAGCCAGGCTGGCTCGGGGCCACGCTCTGCTCCCACACAGCCAGCGGCTCTGCCTGCAGCTGAGCATTGTCTCCTCCTGAGCTCAGCTGCAAGGATTAACTGACTTGTTCCATTAGTGACCAAAAAGCCTCTTACCTTCAGGCAGTTCAAAAGTGAAATAATAACACACCCACACACACACACATGCAACCAAAAAAAAAAAAATAAATAGGCTGGAGAAAGAAATCAGAGAAACTTTCCCTGACAGTCCCTGTGGACCCCAGAGCACCCACACACACACAGTAAAACCCAGACACAAGTATTTGAATAACTACTAGAAAATAAACCAAATAATTTAAACCAGTTAAAGAGTCAGAACATTTTCTTCACACTAAGTAAATAATTTATGGGCAGAGCTATAATAAAAAAAAGCCCTCTCCAGGCCTGTATCGCAGGAAAATGTATCAGGAATAAAAGATCACATTTCAGAGTCATAAATAAATGAAAAACAAAGCCAACAGTAAACAGAAAGGAAAGTATTTCCTTCCCAGCTCCCAGTGCTGCCACAAATACCCTCAGTGCACTGGGCAGACCGGGGCCATCATCCCCATCATCCCTGAAGGGATCTGATGTCTCCTCCTCCTCCTCCACAGATGGAAATCTGGACCCAAACCCTTKGCACAGCTTTTTGTGTGGCACAGCCTTTATATCCATGAACGCTGCTCCCACCCTCTGTGCAGCTCCTAAAAGGAGAGCCCAAAAACCCCTGAGCMCTGAGAAAGCAGAAAGAAGCCCCAGTGGTGTGAATTAATGCCAAAGTGAATTTCACCCTTCTATTAAACAAAAACTTGGCAAGAAACTGTGTTTCACTGCCACCTGGGCTAGCTGGAGTGGCCGACAGACGCTCTGGGAAGGGGACATGCTGTGACACAAACACCTCCATGGACCACCCAGAGGCTGTGCGTGGCATTAGCCCCTCTCTCCTCCCAGCACACAGCAGCTCTGGTGTCCCCATGCTCAGCAGTGAKGATGAGGAAGCTCTCCCCTTCCTCCCCAGCCATGGACACCTACCTCGGGGCCGGCTGCGGCGTTTCCGTCGGCCCACGGAGGTGCTGCGCAGCGCGGGCTGCAGCTGCCCGATCTCGATGGGCGTGTTGGTGCGGAAACTCTCCTTGAACTTCTGCATCAGGGACTCCACCGTCTCCTGCGTCACCTCGGCAGCTGCAACACCAGCAAAGGGGCTGTGGTTAGAGGGGGGTCAGGGCACAGTGTCCCCACTGCCCATGAAAACCTTCCCTTGTGTAAGGAAGAGTCCTGGGACAGGAGCTCTGCCAGTCCCCTCTGATGTAACCCACAGGGACCCATCCGGCACTTTTCAGATCTTACCAAAGCCACAGAAATTAGCAAATTGTGAGTTTACGGAAATTACATTTTCCACGCTGCTTTCCAGCATTTTGGAGTATTCCCTCTCTCTCTCCCATGTGCAGCTGGGAGTGTCATGCCTTTACCAAAGTACAATCTGCAAGGTTCAGATCATACAGAGCACTGAGCTGGCTTTGGGCCGGGTTTAACTCTGCACAAGGAGCTCAGAATTGAACCTCAACCTTGGCGGCTTTTTAGGGCAGCAGGAACTCCCCAACAGCCAAGTTTGGGATTATAGAGTGATGGGGAAGGCTAGATGGGAGTCAGGTGAGCAATGTGCAGCTGGTCCAGGAATGCTCTGTGCTGCAGCAGGATTCCTTGGGGTCTCCCAGAAGCTTCATTCACACGCTGGGATGCAGCACCTGAGGTCAAGAAACACTTTCCTGCAATGCCCCACGACACTATGATGATATTAAAGCAATTCCCCTCCTCGCTCTTACACACCCTCAATCCAGAAATACCAAAAAAATCCTCCCAGAACTTCTAATGAAGCTCCCTGCTGATCTGTGCAATGGGGAGTAACAGGAAGATCATGAAACCACTCACAAAAAGCAAAGATGAAATTTGGGATCAAAAGGCTTGTYCTGCAGGACACAGAGGTCTCCCAGGTTCAACATTGGCTTGGCCTCTGTCAGCTCCTTGAATAAACTCATTAGCAGGACACAACCTCTGCCCTGTCTCCATTTCCAGAGTCACAAAGTCCCCTCGATCAGCTCCAGAAGCTCCCCCTGCCTGCAGCGTGCTGGTGTGGAGATTGCAGGGATCCCAGCTCCTACAGCCACYCCATATCCTGCTTGGATAAGGGGTAAGTGAGCACCCTGCAGCTCCCAGCCTGCCAGGAGTTACGGGCTGATGCATCATCCCATCCCATCTGCGGGATCCAGACACATCAGAGGTGCATGGAGCTCCTCAGGCACCCAGCGAGCTCAGGGTGCAGAACCACTCTGCAACACAGACACCAATTCCCTTCCCAGAATGGTGCAGGGAATTTAGTGTTCAGAAACCGGCCATGGAGGATGGGACATTTGTCATTCTAGGCAATGATTTCACCTAAACACAGAGYCTACAGCAGAACGTCCAACATCCAGCCATGCTGCAGGGAGCAGAGAGCCCTCGGCACCCGGTGCCACACCAACCCATGGAGCAGCTCCCCTTCCTGCTCCCTAAATCCCTCAGGTGAAGTCCTCAGCCTCCCCAGGATGCTTTCCTACCCCTCTGGGCTGATTCTGAAATCTGCTGAGGCCATTGGGATAGGGAGAACCAGAGAACACATCAGGCGGGCTCGGCAAAGCATCCCTCCAGCCTGTGCTGCCATACTGGGAGAGAGGGAGAGCATCCATCTGTCCGTCCATCCATCCATCCCACCATCCATCCATCATCCATCCATCCCACCATCCCACCATCCATCCATCCATCCATCCATCCATCCATCCATCCATCCATCCATCCATCCATCCATCCATCCATCCATCCATCCATCCATCCCTCCATCCAACCATCCATCCCTCCATCCATCCCAGTCCATCCACCCACCTACCCAGCCACACCAGGCACAGAGAAACAAGGATCCAACCCACTGCCTGAGTTAAGTGACAGCAGTGGAATCGTTTCAGGAAAGCTCCAGAAAGAAAGGGAGCCAAGGGACCAGCTGTATTCAGTCTCTGAATTTTCCAGTCCCAGGCTCCCTCAGGAGCCACAGATAAAAGACAGAATTCCCCAAAGCCCTCCACATTTAGGGCAGGCAGACCTGAATCCTGCAGTGTTGGGTGCCCCAGCAGGCAGCATCACAAGGGGAAAAAACAATCGAGAGCAGGGAAAGATCTCCAAAGAGCATCCAGAGCCATCCCCACAGCACACAGAGCACCCCAGGACTAGGGAAGGATGCTGTGGCAGCACCGGGGTGGCTCAGCCTCCTGTCACCATGTGCACTGGGGGAAGCCTGGCCCTGCAGGAGCACACGTGGCAGGGCCTCCCCTGAACAGATGGAGAGTCACCCAGAGCTTGGGGCTGTGTGACAYGGGACATGTGGAAGCGGAGCAGGGAGCTCTGGAGTGCCTCACACGGCTGAGGCTTGTTTACTGAAAGGAGGGCAGSAGGAGAGCACRGGAGGGAGGAGGAGGAGGGGGCCATGCCTTCAGTGAGCAACGAGGTCACAGCAGTCTGATGGCCCCTGCCTGGCTGATGGCACCGCGGTGATTGTGCCCATCTGGCCACCACGATGGCACAGCCATCCCAGGGCAGCTGCTCCCGTGCCTGTCAGTGGAGAAAAAACCACGAGGGAGGAGTGGGGAGAAAGGGAGGGTCCCTCAGCTGCCGAGTGTATGGGATGATGCTACAAACACTGCAGGAATAGGAGCAAAGAGCTGGTGTGTCTCACGGCTCTGCACAGCTCAGGTGGCTTCTCTGAGCCCCTGGGCACAGGGGGCTAGAGGAAGGAAATGGGAAAGGGAAGCAAGAGGAAGGAGGGAAAAGTAAAGCAGGGGAAA